AAACAACAGATATCATGAAGATTTGAGTGTTTTTTCACATTTATTTTTTTAAAGACACATTTTGAAAGTTTTTTTTTAAATAAATGACCATGGTTCATTTGACAGAGTTTAGTTGTACGTTCAGTGATTACTGCCTGACATTTTCAATACTTTCATGAGATATTTTGCTAACAGACAAACGTGCATACGCATACAGTCAAATATTTAAAATTTAATTATTGTTCATTTTTTTTATTTGAGAAGGCTTTTCGGTCTAATGTTTTAAATTGGAAAAATGCCCAAAACAAACAACCCTTATGTGCAGGAATGAGGAAGACAAACACCCCCACACTGATTTGGTTCACTCTGACGCATTACAGGTGACGTGATAAAAATCACATTCAACATTTTTGTTTTAATCTTTCTGCACTTTCAGCTGAAGAAAAACTAACTCAGCAGCTAAAACAAACCAACTTAGAACAAGAAAGAATAAAGAAGTCTTTTGCTTTTGCTCTTTTAACTGGATGTCCCAGCAGCATCAGCAGAAATGGTTTCATGTCCAACCACGGAGCCACAAGTGAAGTAAAACAGCTACGCTAAACAGCTGATCATCAGCTGGCAGCCTGTCTCGGCTCAGGTGGGAATTCGAGGTGTCAGAGGTGTCAGTGAAATTCAAAAAAGCTCAAATGTTTTGGTAAGTGTGTTGAGACTCTTGGAGTGTGACATTTTACTTTCCTGAACAAATGATCATCCTGTTTTTCAGCAGACTATAGAGAGGACACAGAAATCCCACCAGGACTGTCTTCTACAAGCTGTCAGTGAATGTATAGAAAGTCATTTTTCAGTATTTTCCAGCTAAGCAAGATGAGTTGACCTGAACGCATCGTTGTGTTTTAGATAAGATTACAACAACAACGATTATCTGATTTAAAGGCTGCCCCCTGCACTGTTCTACACAAGTTTAGTTTCTAAACAGTTTATAGCTAAAAGTAGCTGAAATTTAATTTCACTGCAACCAAGTCCATGCTCAATAATCCAGGTAATCCAACATTTATCAGTCAGGTCATCTGGACAGTTTTTTTTTTTGTGCTGAAACGTTTTGCCTTCGATCCAGAAGGCTTCATCAGTCAAGGAAACACAACAAAACTGATTCTTCCCCCAACAGCTTACTCCAAAGTGGAACAAACCAGTCCTGCTGGTGATAAGATGGTCTCTTTGGTACAACCCTCCTCCATTGCCGGCCCTCTTCCTTGTTGACAGTCTTGTCAAACTGGTTGAAAACAACAAAGTCCATTTGGAGTAAGCCGTTGGGCAAATAATCAGTTTTGTTGCGTGTTTCCTTGACTGATGAAGCCTTCCGGATCAAAGGCGAAACGTTTCAGCACACACAAAAAAAAGAAACTGTCCAGATGACCTGACTGAAAAATGTTGGATTAGTTTCACTGCTATCTAACAACTCTGAGTTAAAATGTTATGTAATTTTATGGGGGTGAATAAAAATGAAATTTTAGAGCAAAAAGCTGCAGAAGTTATGTTTTTGTTTCCATTCTAGTTATAAGTTTCCAAAATTTTATAAAAGTGAAAACAAATCACTTTAAATGTATACATGCTTTATGTTAGATTTTGTTTTCTCATTTACTGAAACTTTTAGGACTCATCAGTGTTTACTTATCAGCTGTACCATGCAAAGCTATCCATCCATTCATCATCCATCCATCCATCATCCATTCATCCATCCATCCATCCATCCATTCATTTTCTTTACCTGCTTCTACCTTTTCAGGTTGTGGGGGTCACTGGTGCCCATGTCCATCTATCACTGTGTGAGAGGCAGGGGACACCCTGGACGGGTCTCAAGTCCATCACGGGACCAAAATGCACATTTAATCCCATAAAACACTGATTATGTAACGATAACATGAAGTAGCTTAGATACAGATTAAACACCTTTAATCTCATCAAATGTGTCATGGTCATAGAGTTAAATAAGACAGCTAGAGAGCACACTCCCCATGCTTCCAGTTGTGACATTGTGGAGGAGTAAAGATGGCGTCCAAAGAGGGCAACAGCTCACAGCTGACAAAGCAACTCTTCGATTAACAGCAAGCCCATCTGGAAAAGATCAATTCTGCTTACACTTGTGAAAAGAAACCGTTTTCCCTTTTCTCTTCAGCTGGTGTAACTGTAGCACACACAGTTTTGTGGCATTTTTATATTTTTGTGTGCGTTAGATAGATTATATAGTACATATATTCAAATAGTATAGTAATGATATTTTAATTAATGTTATCACTAATAGTACAATTTTGTATATAATCAGCCCTTAATATGGCTATTTTGCCGATATGTACAACTCTAAGCCAGATGTTTGCCCTCTTTGGTTATGGCCGACTGCTACAGTGAATCACAACGTCACGTGATCAGTGCTGCCACTTTGCTGCTTTAAGCAACAGCGACATCTAGTGGCCAGAATATGTCCATCCAATATCCAGGGGCGGTTCTAGGATCTGATGTTTTAGGGCTGCTGAGCCCCCAGTGGTCAGCTAACATCTACAACTCTCCTTGGTCTTTTATTTTAATACAACAGTTCAGCGTTTGCTCCTAAAAAGATCAGTGAACACGTTTCCACCAGTTTATTCCACATCTCGCTCCCTCTGTGTGTGTCCTCTGTCTCCGCTATCTACCTGAAAGAAAGAAAGAAAGAAAGAAAGAAAGAAAGCAAGCAAGCAAGCAAGCAAGCAAGCAAGCAAGCAAGCAAGGAAGGAAGGAAGGAAGGAAGGAAGGAAGGAAGGAAGGAAGGAAGGAAGGAAGGAAGGAAGGAAGGAAGGAAGGAAGGAAGGAAGGAAGGAAGGAAGGAAGGAAGGAAGGAAGGAAGGAAGGAAGAATGAGAGAAATTGGTTTGCTTCCTTCAGCTGTGCTCAGGAGTTTCCATTGACTCATTATGGGCGTGAGTGATTATTAAACGAGTGTTTTATTCATTTCAGGCTCTTTTTAACATTTATTTGAATCATTCTTCTTCCAGGGAGGGATGATTATTAAAACATATGATTTCTATGACCTTATTTAAAACAAAAATTGGATACAGAAGTTTGAACCATTGTATATTTTTAACTTAACTCGGCAGAGATCCAGTTAAAATACAACCTGAGCAGGAAAACCAGCGGCCTCTCATGATGGGACACTATTTTTATTTGTCTTTTAAGACTTACCATAAAACAGAAGCAGCATTTAGAAATAGAAACAGACACATTTAGTAAAACATGCTAAGCTTCTAGTGGCTAAATAAATATAAAATACTGAATAAAATACTTGTTATCCTGATTCAATCAATTCTTTACCTTGTGTCTTTTGGTCAGTGGATGTTCAGATTCTCGACAGGTCCTGACAGAAAGTCAGAAGTATTGGTTCACCTCCTGGGTCTCTGCTGTTGCCTTCAGGGACACACCGAGGATTTTTGACCTGAGAACTACTTGGACTGTGTCCATTTGTGTCCATACCACAAACACGCACCGAGCGCTACAGCTTTTTCAGACTCGCTGATACAGTATCGACTTTATATGTGCTGGACTGAACAGATCCCTCTTGAGACCCACAAACGTCTGCTCTTGATAAATAAATCATCATAAAATAGAACATAACGGGTCAAAGTTCATGCTCAATAATCCAGTTTAAAAAAATCCATAGAAGAACATAACGGACCGTTTGTGTCCTGGTGGTGGTAAATCATACCACAGCTAATCAAACTCAGACTTTAGTAAAGTTTTCATTGCACACTCAGATTTCATGCGTGTGGTCGTCAGTCATTACACAGTTGTAACAGCTGTTACAAAACACTCATTTAAAGTGGTAGTTCAGATCTCTTAAAGTGGGGTTCTGTGGAAAAGTTATGAACATTTAACATCTTTCCTGTTGCTGTTGGAACCAGCTCAGTTTGGAGAAACTGAATTAGTTTTGGTTGAAATGACGAGCTAACGGCTAGTCTGAGTGGAACCAAGACCAACGTTGCTTCTGTCAAATCTAAAACAAACAAACAAACAGCACGGTGGCTCAGTTGGTAGGGCTTTTCCCTTTCAGAAAGAACATCACCGGTTCAAATCCCTGACCTGGACCTTTCTGGGCGGAGTTTACATGTTCTCTCTGTGAATATGTGGGTTTTCTCAGGTACTCCAGTTTCCTCCCACAGATCAAAAACATGCATGTTAGGCTGATTGGTAACTCTAAATTGTCCCTAGGTGTGAGTGAGAGAGTGAATGGTTGTTTGTCTCGTTTGTCTCTGTGTCCCTGTGATGGACTGGAGACTTGTCCAGGGTGTCCCTCTTGCACAGTGACTGCTGGATGTGGGCACCAGTGACCCAAAAATGAAGAAGCAGGTAAAGATAATGGATGGATGGATGGATGGATGGATGGATGGATGGCTTTTTTAAGACAACAGCAATCCCATTTGGTGTTATTTCCACTCAGACTACCCATTAGCTTGTCAGATCAGATGTAAACTTTATTTCTCTATACCGAGGCTGTTCAAAGACCTTTCTACAGCAGGTAACATATTAACTGTTCTGATATTCTGATTGTCAGCGCATCGACCTCTAAAAGGTTCTAAGTGTGACGCTGCAACATTTTGGAGATGTTTCCAGTGAGTCAGTTTTCAGACTGAACTCTTTGATGTATGCAGAAGATAAAACCAACTCCTAATCATCCTTCATGGAAAAATAATAGTTGCAATTTCAGCCTTTAACTTGGCCCATTTCATTTAACGTCTAACGTCTACCATGTCTTACTTACAAGGATTAATAAATAAAAAAAACATCCAAGAAAAGTTGTTTTATTCTTTATTCTCTCAATGCTATGGACATGAACACTGAAAGCAAAGCTGACGTCATAAATCTGAGTAACATGTTAGTTTCTGAATCATCCTTTTCATTTCAGCATGTTCGTTCTACACGCATTCATCATGAGATTACACAAAAATGAGCTGTAATGAGTAAATGAAAGGTAAACTTAAAGCCACGCTCTGTGTTTTCTTCCAGGACGTCAATCCACAATCAAAACAGAAAACAACACAAGGACATAAATTAGATCAAAACATGCGATGGATGTGGAATAAAGGAGCAGATGATCAGGATAAACTTCCATCTGTGTCCAGTTTAGTACGGACGGATCCCAGCCGGTCTGTAGCGTTGCTGTGATGGGATTCTGGAGCCATAATACCTCTGGTAAGCCTGCTGGTAGCCGAAGCGATAGGCGTAGAGGCGGCAGGGAGAGTAGTCCTCGCAGGTCTCTGCACGGATCTCTGACACGGGCTTTCTTTTCCTGCAGGAGGAAAATTATCTCAGCATGTTCAGTTTGTTGTTGGTGCTGGCTTTGTGCGTTTCTACATGTATCATGTTTACATTTAATGTCAAACTGCGTGAAAGAGTTTATCAAAGTTAAGATCTTTTCAAAAGGAGTTCAGTGGAAAGTTTACGAACAACCAATATCTTACTTGTTGTAGATAACTCTTTAAATGGTTTCAGTTCAGATAAATAAAGTTTTTATCTGTCAGGACTGATGAGATGATGACTAGTCTGAACGAGGATTAACAGCAAAGTAAAGTCCTGCTGTCGTAAAATAATAATTCCCATTCCGATAAGGGGAGGTGTCTATGAGGCTGAACCACTTCGTCTGACTCCTTATGATGTGGAGGAGCAGCAGCTCTACTGTGAACTTCCCCTGGACCATGGTCCTCCTCAGCTTATCACTAAGGCTGAGCCTGAACAGATGAGGCTGATTTTATACCTCATGACTACGGGTGAGAGTTGGGACGTAGACAAACCAGTAAATCAAGACTTTTTGGTGCCAACTAGAGCAACGCCCTCATTCCTGACCACAGCTTTGTCTCCCACTCAATCCCACCATCACTCATCAACAAGACTTGCTCCTCCTTTTTCCAGGAGAGAGCAGTGAATTGGAAAGACGGCTATTTATGACAGTTATTTTATAACACTTTTTCTGATCTGCAGTAGTTATTTGAACAGAAACACTGTGACGTTCCTGCAGGAAGTGCTCCAGGATGCAGCAGAAGTGCCACAGTTAGCTGCTGCTATTGTTGTAGTACTCAAGACTGGTCTTGGTCTTAAGACCGGTCTCAAGACCACTTCTTGATGGACTCGGTCTTGTCTTGGTCTCCGACATTGAGGACTCGGGATTTTATTTGAAGACCAGTCAAGACCACAACTGTGGAAATATCACTAAATTGCCAGAATATTGTCCAATTTGTTAACATCTTTGCTTTATTGGATGCAAAACGCACTGGTTCAAATCCAACTGTTAATGTGACTCTTTGCTAAATACATTTTTTATTACCACTGTCACCCCCTCCCCCTTCCACTCGCAGGTGTCACTCCCAGTGTGGCCAGATTGGGTGGTTTACTGCCAGTTGGGCTGTTTTCATTCTGATTTTGCTGGGAACTGTGGGAAGATTTTTGTTACCATACCATACCACTTTATTTATAGAGCACTTAAAACAGCTACAAAGCCAACCAAAGTGCTGTACAGACAAAACAACAGGTAACACACAAAACAAAATACAAAATGAGGTAAATCAGAATATAGACATAAAAACGATGCAGATAATGACGACAAACCAGGATGGATTGTTGAATTGTTGCATTTTGACACATATTGTTAAATTACCTTGGCTTGAACTGATGTGTGTTCATGTTCAAACAGTAACCAGACTGTAACAAAATACTGATTGGATGGATTTTTGTGTGATGTGGCAGTTTTTAACAGATTTTTGGGCTGGAAAACCTCGACTCTATCTGGCAACACTGGTCACTCCAAGAAAGTGGGAAGTGATTGTTTGGGTGTGGGAGAAGATGTCTGCCATATGATCAGTTATAAAATTTGGCTATTTAAATTACAAAGAATATACTTGTAACTAATGCAACTATATGGTTATCCTTGGTCTTGAGTTCGGAGTTATGAAGAGTGTTTTTAGTTTTTTAAAACTTGGCATGTGATGAAACTGCTTCCACTTTAACAGTTGTGTAATTTTATTGTTGAATCACATGAAGTTAGGTCCCTGAATGTCTGATTTCTTTGTTGTGTAGCTTTGAAAATGTATAAAAGCTGATATATTCATTCAAAAGCAAACTTAAAGTTGCAGTATGTAACTTTTATAAATAATATTTTATAATAAAATCTTATATATATATATATATTTTGAGGTCTTGGTCTCGGACCTTAAAAGTTTTGGTCTTGTCTCGGTCTCGGGTTAGGTGGTTTTGAACACAACACTAGCTGCTGCTGCCAATGTTTCTTTTTGGAAAACACAAAATAGACACATAATGTTCTATTTAAATGAAAGTGATTGCAGAAACTGTTTTGTGATTGAATTTTTTTTTAAGATGGCAGCAATCCATTTTAAGGTCTGGTTCTGGTTGAGACAGTGGAGCTTACCACGGCCGTTTTCCACACGGACAATTCATACTCAAAGAAGAAATGAAGGAGAAGTCAAGATAAACCCTCCTCACTGCAGCACATGTTACACACAAACAGCAACCCAGTGAGAGTCAGAGTGGAAGTGGATTTTCAGTTGATGATGGTTGGAGAGGGAACTGGTATTGCTGTTGTTAACCAGGAGAAGAGCCATTTTATAAATCTGTTGAAAAGAGACCCCCACAGTTTTCAACAGACAGTGCAGGAACGTGTCCTTACGCTGTGACACCCCCTCCTGGGCATCAGAATCAGAATAAACTTTATCATCATTGCACCGAGATACAACGAGAACATGTACGTGCAGTCGTCCGGAAGATGGATGGAGTGCACGAAGCTGCTGCTCTAAGCGCGGCCTCTCTTATCACTGTCATGGAGAGCATCCTCTATCTTCCTGCCATCCCATTGTCCCGTCTCCTACCACAAGTTCTTTGATTACCTTGATAAGTTTTATTTATTCATCATTTTTCTGGAACAGGTGTAATGTTGGCTGCATTTTCTAACAGCCTCGGCCGGCTGCTGCTCAGCAAGCATCTCACTGTAGCCGAGTTTCATGAGCAAACACTCCCACAAAGTTCTGATCAGTCACACAATACTTGGTGCATACCCTGTGAGGAAGTACTTCTGACCTGGGGCAATGCACAACATGAGGTTTCAGCGACGGGTGTGAGTAGAAAAGTATGTAGTTTCCATCATGCACCCATGTCAGCGAGTCACAACGTCAGCACTTGTCATGAACTTTGAATCAGCCTTTAGTCCTGGCTTCTCATCAATCCAACCAGACTCCAAAGAGCTACAATATCTAGAACAAGTAGGATAATAATTGTTCATGACCTTTCCAGAGAACCTCACTCTATCTCTTCAAGTCTGCGCACGTATTTGTGTTTTACCTCATGAAGGCGTTGAAGCGAAACCTGCTGGGTGAATTGTAAATGCTGTTTCCTCTCGGTGGCATGAACGAGTTGGCACGGTTTCGTGGCAAAAACAGATCTGAAACCAAAACAGCTCATTAAATTCACCAACACAGCCCAGGTGATCAGGAGCAGGTGAGATAACAACTGGGGGGATGTTAGTGAAGGGTCAGTGATTAAAGGCCCAGACTGTTAGAACTGCATGCATGCTTCTCCAACTCTGAGATTTTTAACATTTAATCACCTTCAGTGGACTCTGTGCTTTCACGAGAATCTATGGGAAAAACATGGGATCTGGTTAATCATGAGCGATGAATCTCCATCTGAATGTGATCAATTACTGAACAAAAACTGCTGAGTGACAGCAAGACGAGGGGTGGAGGAGGTCTATACCATAACAGACACAGAGAGAGACGGCAGCACAGAGCGCCAGAAACCGAAGGAGGCTTCTCATCTTGGGGCTTCTCTTCTGCCTCGCTGCTGAGGAGAGAAATGATCAGAGTTACGTCTTTGGTGAAGGAGAGGAAGACGCAGAGAGAAAAGGGGTAACTGGGAAATGGACGGGAGAGAAAGTGGCCATTTGTTTGTATTAGGTAACAAGAAAACTTTAACTAGATCAGATGACAGAAAGGTTTCTATATTCATATTTGTGTTTTTTTGTTTATGCAATCCAAACTTTGCTCCATGTCAGTTATGTTTCTGTGGACAGTTTGAAAAGATGAAACGAGTTCTCATTCAGCCAAAGTAAAGATGTTGAACGGATCAGTGCACTCTGTTCAAACCTCAGTTTGTGCCTTTAGAGCAGGAGGCAACAGTTTTATTTCCAAAGGGATGATTTTTACCTTATTAAAGAGGTTAAAGAGTCACATCTTAGACTGAAACATGAGCACATTATACAGTCAGACAGATCATATATAACATCACATCATCTGCAAAAATGCACAGTCTGCTTTACTCTCATAGCAACTCACAGCTTGCATTTGTTGCACATGTTGATTGATTTTTTTTTAAATAAAAATGTTGTATAAATATATATTTCTCGATGAAAAGCTTGTAGTATAGCACTTGGTAAAAGATACTGCAGGATTCCTGTAGCATGAAGGACGGGCAACATTGCAGTCCAGATGGCCAGTTTTAACTTAACAGTGAGATCAAACTGAACTAAAACTTTATGACCTCTATCTATCTGTCATTAATTACATCACATCATCTGCAAAAGTGCACAAGATAAAGCTCAGTGTTGCTCAGAACCGTGCAATGAACATTTGCTGCTGAGTGCTTTTTGACAGAAAACGTTTTCACTTTTAATTTTCTTCCAGACATGACAAGTTCAGGATATTTTAGCCAAAACAAAGTAATCTTCACTTATCTTGGTTGAAAATGCAACATTTAGAAAAAAGTTCTGACATCTGTTTGTCTGTAATTATCAGCACAACCCATGATCTTGGGAAAGTGATAAAGAAAGCTTTAATTAAATTTAACAAATAAATGCTGAAGACTTGGCATGCTGATATTAACTGATGAAAAATACATACAGACTTTTCTGTACCTCGAGATTAATCATTAAACATCTTTTATTTCAGCTTTTTATTCTCATTTGAAGACGTCAGAGGTCAGATGGAAGTGGTCAACTTTTGGCCCTCAGAGTCATGTGTGCCTTAGACATTAACTTTTGATTAAAAAACTACATTTATAGTAAATTATCATAATTTGTAATTTGTTCAAAACATGCCAAAACAATAAATAAATAGAAGTTTAGGCCTAGTTTTGTTTAAAGAAATTTTAGTTTTTTGGTAAACTGATAAAAACCAGTGACGTTCTGTTTTCTTTTCCATAACCTGTTTTTTTTTATAAAATATTGTTGCTAATAATTTTATTTAAAATTAATTTAAATTAATATTAAATGCCTATATTATTTAGTGCTTTTAAAAAGCTGCCAACGAACTGAGTCCAACCTCATCTTGCTGAACAAATCTGTAACCTGCAGCTGTTGTTCATGACTCTGACACACAGTGCACATCTACACACATCACTTTAATGTTCAGTAACATGAAGAAGTGATCCGAAGTGGGAGAGAGGACACCCGTAGGAACAGGAACCCCAGATGAATCGGGTCTGTCTGTGCACAGAGACACACACAGGTGTTGGACTTGCACGTCTGCGGTGAAGCCAAGCCTCCAGCGTCGTCTTCTGCTTGTGGCTTTGGATGGAATTCTGCTTCGGCGGTTCTTCTTTTCAGCATCAATAGCTGCTTTGATTTAACATGAGCGTGCACACACACATAAAACTCACAGACCTGCACATAAACACACACACCTATCTCAGCCAAACGAGCAAACTGAAGCCCAGAGTTCGAAAGGCAACTTCCAGTAACTCACAAGGACATATGATATGAGTGCATGTGTGTGTGCATGTGTGTGTGTGTGTCATTCTGTGTCTATTTGAGTTGTCGTTAAGGTTATAGTGCGTTCTTTTGTTCCTGCAGGCAGAATGAATTCATATTTTTGCACAAATCTTTGATACTTGTCATGTAAAAAGCAAACAGGAACCAAAACGCACAGTTTCTTTTGCACACGACAGTCTTACTCTACCGGACGTTTGCTTCTTTTAACATTAATTTAAAAAAAATGCTATAAACTTACAATGTATGTTATCAAATGCTAAATGAAAGAAATGCAATTTGTCTCACTATATTTGTCTTTTTAGAGTTAAACCCTTAGTTTTATTTGAAATAATTTATCATTTAAGTTGTAAACTCACCTTGAAGCTCTGGGATGGAGGGAGAAGTTCAGGAAATATCTCTCAGTACTTTCTCACCAGGAATATTCCCTATTTATCCACAGCCAACCTTATATACGTTCAAGTGAACCCCCCACCCCACCCTTCTCTTTCTACCTACCGACACCCTCTCTGTGCCACCCTCCAGCTCTCCTCCCCTCTCTCAGACTATCGGCCCTCTTTTCCATCATTTAATCGTGCCTAGGGTATTAGCTCACTGTCTCCCTGACTCCTACGCCCTCGTGGAGCGACACAGGACTGTGGCTGACAGAGAGACCCAGAGGAAAACAAGCCGGGGATAAACAGAGGCCGGGTGGAGGGGAGCCTGGCACGGAGTCACTTAACCTGTTTTATAACAGGTAGATGATAAGATTCACTCCCGTTTGCCATCATGGCAGCGTGAAATGAAAAGAAACACCGACAAATCTGCTCCACCTGTTAAACAGATTTAGAAAACCTCCTTCTGATAAATGCACCGTAAAAAGTCCAGACTTGTAGCACATCAGAACATTTAATCAGCAACAATCACCTCTCACGATAATCCACCATCAAAGGTATCGTTAATTGCAGGTGATGAATGACAACTTAATGAAACACGTTGTAGTCGTGAAGGTTCTCAGTGGAGGTGTTGCAGTTATTAAAAATCTGTAGATGGCGTGTCAATCTGCTCCAGAGGAAGATTTGTTGATGCGGATGAGTTCAGGCAGGTATGAAGGGACTGGGGTTTGAATGGTCCTAAAGGAGAGAAGCAGAATTTTGTATTGAACAGGAAGAAGCAGGGTTAGAAACTGTATGAACAGAAGGACGGATTCCTGATCTGATGGACTGTAGTTTGTTGCACCAAGAGAACAACACACAAATCAGTCTGGACTAAAACTGACTTGTGTGAATGAGTAAAACCATGAAAAACCTTCAGTCACCAAGAAAGAGCAACAGTCGGTGTGAAATGTGGTGATGAATGCAGGAAGATCAGAAGTCTTCAGCCATGACTCTCTGGCTCCACACAGGAAGAGAGATCCAGATTATTGTCCATGCTGGATCAAATGGGATGACTGAGCACTCCATGGGACGTTGTTGAAGGTTGCATTATCATCTGGACGTCTCTGAAAGACAAGTTGAGTTTCATCTGAAGAGACTGAATAACTCTTTACATCGTTGCCAACTCCTCGTCACACTGTAATAATGTGATATTTCAACTAAAGCTGCCTCAGGTTGTGGCAGAATATGTTGGATGCTGGTATGAATGCATGACAATAACCATTTATCAAAGTGACTCAGCACAACGAAATGTTAGAAATTGGAGCTTTTAAAGGAATACTTTGTTTATTTTAAAAGTGATGGCACAAGAATGAAATACCAAAAATGTGAAAGGACTGGTGATGAACAAGTCAGACACAGTAGTATCAATTCAATGCTTTTATTTACAATGAGTAATAATTCAGGATGAAGCAGAAACCCTGGGGAGCAAGGAGATGGGTCAGATCCAGAGTCCAGCAAAGTGGTTTTACTCAGAACGTGCTGGTTCCTTACTGGTAGATGGCTGGTAAGATGTAGGTTTCAAAAGTCCTGTACAGTCACGAGAAGAGCCATAGTGCTCAGGAGGGCGTGTGGATGGAGGGCAAGATGAGCAGCTGAAGGGTGCACAGGTAAGGTTTACAAGGGTTCACTAGGAGATCCAAATACTCAGGTAGGTCTCTGGAGGTTCACTGGAAAGATCACAGGAGAAAGGTAAGTAATCACAAGGCTTAGAGATACACAAAGGACTAGGAGCACAAACCATACGTAGGCTAATGCTCCAGCGTCAGAAAGAAGTCATAAGGTGTCTGATCTACACCTGGAGCCTCATCAGGACACATCACTTGCAGGTGTGGAAGTATGATGCCCTCTGGTGACCAAAGACAGACATGGAACAGGAACTCCCACAGCTGCTCTGTCATATCAATAGCACCTCACCAGTCCTGAACAACAGAACATAGAGAAAAAGGAAGTCTACCTAAGAGTCAGGCTACTGGTAAGCCAGACCAGTCCCTCTCTTATAGCATTCGTAGGCAAACAAAACAAAGAAAAAAATGACACTGGTGTGAAAGAACACTACGATGGCTGTATTAGCTAAAAACAAGTGAAGTGTAACATATGCACGGACCATGAAGCTGGTGTCCTGACTGAATTTAGCCATGACTGACTCGTTGCACTGATCAGACAAACTGCTGTGTTCATCAGCCTCTCAGCACCAATGATAAGACAAACACGTCTATACTCAGCACGTATATTCTCTTAGCAGCACGGCTGTTGTTCAGTTGAGAAAACAGCAACGAAACAAACAGCATCATGTATGAGTGCTGACATTTAATATTAGCTAATGTTGAGTTCTTTCACTGCAAGATGGCATTTTTGAGAAAGGCCAGGAGGAAGACTTCCCTTTTTTCTTCTACTTAGTGCTCTATGGCTCATTGGATATCAACGACCGATTTAATAGAACATCTCTTTAGAAATGACCATCCCTTTAAAAGGCAGGAGCAGGGCTTTATGGTAACGTGTATCAAAAACACGTGATTCCTGAACAAAGAGCAGCACTCATGAAGTCGCTGCTCCTCCTCCCGCAGCTCTTCAGAACACCTACCATAAAGTTAATACGAACAACATCCGTGCAGAGAATATCAGAGAGTTATGTAACAGCATCGCTCTGACCTCAGTCCAAAACTGAGAGAGAGCAGACCTGACGGTAAACAAACCAGAAATGGGAACACTGCAGGCCAGGGAACAGCAAGAGCCAGACAGACAGATCAACATTCAGACATACCTGAACTTTAAAAAAAACTTTCTATATCAGATTAGAAACAGGGTGGTGTAGAGGAAATACATAAAAGCAGAGTCAGATAGAGGGAGGCAGAGCCCACGTTGTTGTGGTTGGATGGTGGGAACATTGTGGTAAAACATGTTCAGCGAGGCGGACCTATCAAGCAGCAGTTTTGTTTCAGAATCAGAAGAAGCCTTATTATCATTGCACCAAAGTACGGCGAAATTATGTCTGTACAGTCGTCCGAAAGATGGGCGGAGTGCACGTTGGAGAAAGACCATGAGGAAAGGGTAGTGGTATTACAAAAAAGATCTCTTCACAGTCTTGTCCTTGTCAAGACACGATTTAAGACATCAAAAAAAACTACCAGCAAGCACATTTATAGATATATTACATCTGATGACAAGACGGTGAGGTTTGTCCATGAAGCACTTCCAGATAGCACCATAGTCCTGATAAGATGTTGGTGTCAGCCGGTACAGCTCTGATAAGCATTTGAGGGGGAGCAGGGGATAGAGCAGAGTCTTCTTAGTTTACACATGTCCCAGGAGAAATTTGAAAAGTTTGCCTGCTTCAAGGCCTAATGGGGGAGTCAGCTTCAGATAAGCCACAGTTGTTGTTTTTTTTCAGGCAGACTGTTGTTTCTCATCAGCCTTGAGTTCTGCTGGTACTCTCATGATCCAAAATGGCCAAATTTGTGAGCGCTCCACTGCTCCGTGCTTATTAGCTCCCTCCAAGGCTGTCCCCAACATGCTGACTACTTCCAGAAGCCACAAGTGGCCTACAATTCTCATAAATCGCTTCCATCTCATGGTTGAGCTCGTAATCAGCAGTCTCTTCTCGAAGCACGAACCAAACCTTCAGATAATGCAGGCAGCTTTGCCATGGCCACATCTGCTTCTGCCGTCTTCTTTAATAGCCGATTACATAGGTATCTGACTGTGCCAAAATGGTAGAAACCCATAAGTCCAATGATATAAATCTTTGGGATCCTCCTGAGATGATCCAGAAAGGCACATCAACTTATCCATGACGTACCCTGCTGTGTGCGTCTCAGCGGGGCATGAAGGTTCTCCAGGACCCTGTCACTTGGTTGAAATTTTTTTTTTTTATCACTTGTATTGAAAGTCCAGCTGACCAGATCCATGTCAGTAATTTACAATTCGAAAGATGTGTAAATAGAAGCTCCGAAACACAGGACGGAGAGCAAAGAAAAAACAGGAGGGAGACGGGAGAAGGAAGAAAAAGCGTCCGTCTTGCTCGAGAGCGAGTGAGGGGGAAAAAATGAGAAGATCTTCACTAAATATGAAATATCCTTTTTTTCACAGGTCAAAACAACACAAAGTTCGTTATGAGGCCAGATCTCGGGTTATTTGTAGAAGGAAATTAAAGTTCAATCATCTTGAATTTGTTCCTAATGAGTTGGGAGTTTGAAAAACGACAAATTGAATTTGGTGATTGCATAACAAATATTTATACACTGGCCTCTTTTATCACGCTTTCTATTCTGTGTTCACTTAATGTGTGCCTCCATTTTTATACTGGGGGGGTTATGCCTCATATATTTAAATTATTTCAGCACTTCTGTTTCCTCTCCTTCCATCCTTCAACAGCTGATATTGTTCTGACTCGTCGCCTCTTCAGTCAACCATGTGAGGAACAGAGACGAGAGATAAATGAGGAGCAGAGGGACGAGGTAAACCTGCAGGACTGATGGCAGTGATCTATGAGCCTCACCTGTTCGGCACATCCGTGCTCGAAACGGGAATCACAGCGACGAAAAAGTTATCTGGAAGGAAACTGGGCACAAACTGAAAGAGCCTGAGGAGGACATGCACTGAAATCCCACCTTTTTGATTTGCAGCATGCGAAAGGAAAGGACATGTCTGCACATGAGGCGCTAAAAGTGGGTGGATCAGAGGAAAGAATGAGCGTTTGGGAGGAGAAAAATGTTGATAGAAAAATGAAAGCATGACCTTTCACTTCTGCATGAGGCCCTGACCACAAACGGTCCGTGTAATGTCTGCAAAAACAGATTTTCTAAAGTGTTTGGGTGGGTTTTTATTTCCCCCAGTGGGCAGGTGTATGTCCAGTTCTTCTGCGGTTCCATCTGAGCAGACACAACACAGACAAGTCTTAGGAGAAAAATCCACTCTACTCATCATTTCTCTCTTTTTTTTTTTAGAGTCGTTGCTGTGATTCACTTTATTATGCTCCATGGAAACACAGGAGACACACTGAGGAG